GAATCCTCCTAACCCCACAGACTGTGTCCCAATATCTTCACATGGCCAAAAGCTGAGAGAAATACATCATTTACCTGAGCCAAGTGAAGGGAAAGAAAAGCTCAGAAGCAGGAGATGACAAGAGTTCTGTACAAGCCCCACCACTCTGCTGGAAAATGGAACTGAGCCACTGCTGGGAGAATGGCATCCCAGGGACAATCAGTTAATGCCAGCCTCAAATGCCAGAGCTGAGGATCACCTAACATAATAGCACAACACGACTGCTTGCCATATGACAGGCAGAGACCCTGCACCTGAACCACTCAGAAGCCAAAAAATACTCAGAAGAACAAACTAGCCATGTTTTTGTATTTCCTCTCTGGCCTAGTTCCACACCTGTTCCCATGACCTCGTCTCCAACTCTTCCTTGCTACATTACATTTCATTCCAGACTGGTCACTTCTCTTTTTCCTTTCAACTATCAGCTTTGTATCTATGTTTTTTTTTTAATATACATTGCAATTTATTTTTTTCCAGAGCATATGAATGTAGTCTCCCTCAAAGTATTTTTAGTGGCTTTTCCACACCAATCACAAGGTAAACACTAGCAGAGCTCCTACCAAGTGGTATTTTAAATTTTTTGGTATGTTCTGCAGCACAACTCCTTGGGACAGACACCAATTGGTTTTGACATACAAGATGCACGAAAGTATTACTCAAATTAAGGGATGAAAATATCTAGCATATTGCTTTATACATGTTTTAAGAGTATTTTCAAATTGAACTTTTTTTCCTAGAACAAGAACAAGATCTATCAATAGCTGAGTATCAACTGTCTTCAAATATTATAGACTCGGAACACAAATCTCAGTTACAGATCTTTTCTGATCAATATTTTTGATCACTGCAAAAGATCTGAACTACAAAATGGCTCTCCCTGATGTTATTTCAAACAGTGAACATATTAATAGCTATCTTCTTTCCTAGAAAGCCTAACAATCCTAACATAAAATAACATGTTAACACAAAGAACTTGCTAATGTGCATAAGTGTGTTGCTAGGAAGTTTACTGGAAGGTATTTCTAAAGTTGCTCAAAACCACACAGTTATGGAGGGTGGCAGATGTAAACGGATAAACCTGCCAGAACTACTTGATAGTGCTGACAAGCAGAACTTACTGTGTCAACTTATTGCCCAATTTAGGGGTGAGGGGAAGAAGAAAAAAGACAACCAGAACCTTGACAGCAAATATAAAACTCTTAGACTAATTTGAATTTCATTTTTATCAGTGCAACTGAACAGTTGCCTCCTACCAATAGTATGGTTTCAAGATGTCTTTGGCATTTCATTAAGCGTAGCAGCAATCAACAGTAACCCAGGTTACAATTTTTAATAAGCAATAATCAGCAGCTTGCATTTAAAAAAAAGGACCCTAATAGGGAAAAAAAAAATACAAGTGTCCTCAGTGTCTGAAATCAGACTGTTATACCAGCTGGTCCTGAGAATAGCCTACGCATTTGCTTTCAGTTGAACATGAAAATACCAGGTTAAATTCACAGAGAAGAAAACAAGTTTCTAATTTACATATTGGCTGATAGTTTCATTTTTTTGAAACCTTAATTTCAAAATCAAAAGAACTTTTCTTTAAAAGCAGTTAGCTATTTTTTTTCCTTGTGATGAGTAAATATCTGCCAGTTTAATTTGTGATAATTTATAGTCATAATAATAAAGTTCTGTATTCATTAAAGATGTATCTCACTAAACAAACCACAGAAATAAGACCATCTACTGTTGTTTTCACTACTAATTCAAATATACCAAGATTTGTAATGTCTTACATGTAGACAATTCAGAATACTTGTAAATTGACACACATTTCCCACTTCTAAAAAATGACTGGGAGCTATTAGCTTTTGTGGTGCTGTGCTCTGGTGCAACATAGTATTTACAGCAGGCGTATTGTGTCTAAAGTGTAATCTTCCTCCAGCCTTCAGTGCTTCAGAGACATTAACCAGCAGCTCACCAGAAGCCACTCCACCTTCATTTAGGGCAGCCAATAAAAAAATTGCAACTCTCCCTTTAAACAGAATGAAGCAGCAAAATGAAATTTCAGGGCTGACTATAAGATGTCCTCTTTGAATAGGACTGGAAAGTGCATATATTTTACTTCAACAGTCTCCTAAAATAATGGGGGTGGGGATGCATTTGTTTGATTTCTTCTTTTACTGTGTTTCTAAAACTAAATATCAATCTAAATGCTATTCTTACCAAACTGGTAAGTTAAAGATGTTTGAGAGGTCATACTTTCTTGAGAAAACAACTACCCAAAGACCAAGCATATATGAATAATTTAACTGTATTTCAAAGCAGAGAATTTTGACTTGTCTGACACCAAAACAGCTAACCTAGAAAAGGTCCGAGATTCACTTCACCTAGTACAGATATAACTGCAAGTGCAAGCTCTGCTTTTTTCCAACTTAAAATGGATTTCACACCATGACAGGTTTCATTCTGCATTAAAATTGCAAATCTTCCATTTGGCCCAGTTTCAGCTGCAATTGATCTGCTTTGTCGTCATAGATTTAAAAAAAAAAAACAGTGAAGGGCACTGCAGCTTTAAATATTTCAGAGCTATGTAGCTAGTAAATAGACTCCATTGCAATATGGCTCTGAAGGTCGTGTCCTATTGTCTCTTTTCTCTGCAAATATTCTGAACAGCATAAAATGGTTTATTTTATACAACACTTTCCTGCCATTTCTAAATCATGTCAATTGTATTAGGCATTTCCTTACTGGAAAGGACAGATACGCCACTCTTTCCATACACACCCACACTGCTTCGAGATGTATTCAAAACGTCCACTGTGAATTTAACAGCAGAGTGTATGTATTAGATGTACACAGCTTTTCATATGGATGCCTTATGTGAACAGACTCCCTGTTAAATCCCACCACAACATAAGGACAATTAGTTATTGCAATGGTGATAAAATAATTAACTGAATTTCAGGTCAAGATGCATCTTTGGTTAAAATTAACAGCCCAGTTAGAAAACTGAACCAGCAATTTCAACATCTCAGCTCTCTCAAATATGGGAGAATAGGAAAAAAATTCTAACACAGCACCAAGGGAATGCAGTCTGCCAAACCTGTTTTTCATGAAGGCTACTACCTTTCAGATGCTAAAAAAAGAGCAAAAAACAACAACAAAAAAAACCCATACACCACATTTAACAATAAGCTACAAGAAAAATAAGACTTTAAACCTTAAGCTAGAATTGGAAATCCTTGTGTATGCGCTCCCTAGGTTCAACCCCGCTTCTTTCATGAAAGGTGACTGATGAAAACATTAGTTATGGAGGTGCCACTCAGAACAGTAACATGAAATACAGCCCCGCAAAAAACAGAAATTTGTGATAGCTGTCATCATGCAGAAGGTGCGTGTAGTCATTTACCTGAAAAGGCAACAGATTGTTGCCATTGTCCGTCCTGAACGCGTTGTCTTCCATCCAGGATTTGGGGGTTAAGGGTGCAGCCCGTGGGAACTTCGGAGGGGCAATGACATTGCTGGAGAAGGGTTTTTTAAGGGGTGAAATGGGATTGAGGGGGGAGGGCACACCGACTCCCACTCCCACACCAACCCCCACTCCAACTGCCCTTCGAGGGTCCCTACCAGCCTGCAGCCCACCCCAAGGGTTGGAAGGTGTACTCCAAGCCGCATTTTGATGGTTATTCCAGCTGGAGGAGGAAGAAGAAGAGGCAGAGGAGGAAGACGGTTTGCTGGTCATGATGGGCTGATGGCTGTAAGCAGCATTTCTCTGGGCAAAAGGTGCCTGATTAGGACTCACAGGTGACCTCCGCTGCTGCTGTTGCTGCTGAGCTTGCTGCTGCTGCTGCTGATGTTGGTGGTGTTGAGTCTGAGCTAGGCCAATCTGAGGTGAGAAAGTGCCACCAAATACAGGGTTGACATGGTGTGGAAAATTCTGGAAAAGCATTGTCCCATTGACTGGAGTAATCCCTTGGAAAAAGCTATCATCCACCGTGTTTGTGGTCCCTGTAGACCAGGTGCTGCCAAACGAGGGAGACAAGGAGGTGCCAGCTGCAGGTTCTTGTTGAGGCTGGTGAAAGCTCAAGCCAGGCAAAATGGGAGACTCCATCTGCATCTTCTCCTTGCTATTTTGGGAAGGAGCCGATGTGCCGATACTAGTCACTGAACTGTTGTCTTCTGGTTTGGGTGTCTCCGACGAGATGGGTGTAGAGGGGGCTTCTGCTGAGTTGGGATCTTGCTGCTGCTGCTGCTGCCGCTGCTGCTGGGGCTGGGCTTTGCTTTTGTCCATCAGTAAATCATCCTGCATGGTTTGCGCAGCTGAAACAGTAGGGGAAAAAACCACAAAGACATATTATTAGCATTGTCATTCATACCACAAGCCAGTCTGTTTTAATCATTTGCCAGCCAAAAATCTCGTCCTATTGCTAGTACTGTGCTACAGCATATTGCAAGGCAAACCCGTAATCTTCCCCCTCCCCCATTTAGGAATATGTAACCTTTGATCGTGCTAGATTGCCCTTAAAATATTTTTTAAGATGCTTCACCCTTTTTGATGCCTTGTTTCCCTTCAGTCTAAATGAGAGATGTGCTTATAGGGCAGAGATATACAGCAATTTCGCCACGTCTCTTTTCTCTTACACCGGAACTCAGAGCTCTCACCCTGCAATGAGAAACTGATTCTGGTTCCTGTTTTTCCAAGCACCCTCCTCCTCCACCTCCTCCCCCTAGTTATTTGCATACGTCAATAAATACTGCTGCGTCCTTCAGCAAGGTTAAAAAGACACCAGTCTTCGCTCTTCTCCACCCCCTTTTCTATTAGGGGACCTTTAAAGGAGCCGGGTACCGATTTTCCTTAATGAGCAAGCAGGCTTGCAGTGATTGAGGTTTATCAGAGCGAACGCGCGCAGGGACGCTCGCTGATACGGGAGCGGCTCCTCGCTGCACAATCGCTTCCTGCCCGTCCCTGGCCCAGCCCGCGCCGGCTCCGGGCAGCCGAGGCGCTGGCACAGCCGGGAACGGGGGCCGGGGGCGGAGACACTTCGCCTACAAAGCCACCGATGGGTGTTGGATTTGCCTTCGGTGACCTTACGATCTCTCCGCGTAAAATGCTATTTTACATCAAAGCAGTCCTTTACTTTAAGGTATAGCTGTCTACTCGCTCTATTTATACACACACCCGCTCTATTTATATACATACATATGAAATCATCGGTGATTTCTCCATTAGAAAACCGTAAGGTCTAAATCAGCAGACCGGGGAGATATTATTAGACTATGATCTTTCTAATGCTTTCAAATGAAATATAAAACCAGGGAAAATCGAAATATTTGCAATACAGACATGCTGCATGTTAAAAATCATCTTCATATGCACAAGACAAGGACTAGTGATGCAAATTATTTGCTAAATCAATACATAAGTTCAAACTTCAGAAAGGAAATGTGTGTGGAATGGTTGAGGCTTATATATACTAGAAAATGTGCTCCATATGAAACAGGTCAGATCACATAATTTTATAATGATTTTGAGACCCAATAGTACTAATACAATACAGACATCAATGAACAGCAATTGTATGAAATCACAACAGGAACCTCCACATTTTGCAGGCTTTTAGTCTATTAAGGAGATCACTCTTAATCTCAAAAATATTTTATATGTGCCCCAAATCACTTACTTTCATTGAGTAACTATGCCAAAGATGGCCATTGCTGAATACCTAACTGCATTACTATTGAGTTAATCATATGACATTTACATGCCTAAGACTGTATTTTTTAGGATTGTTTTTGTAATGTAACAATGTATAGCCAAATCAATTAACTGTTTAAGAAAGGTGGCAAAGTGTGAAACTGTCGACACTGTCCTTTCTGACATCAAGTCGTCCAGGTGTATCTTATATTTTTTGTTTTTTCCTTTAAATATCTTCTGAGGCATGCACACACATTTTGGTTAAAATGAATTCCAGGAGAGGTTTCTGGTATTGAGTAAGTTACTGCTTATGCTCCCCCTGATTTACCAGTTCAATATGAAAAGTGAGCAGCAAGGCTTCCTGAGCAGACCATGCTGTGAGACAACATTAAGCTCCTCAGGACGGGGTAAACCATTGCATCTGTTCCAGACAGCGCTGCTGCTGCTGCTGCTGGGAGTGCAGAAAACCTTGCAAGGCATTTTAAAGCAATACTGCAGTAAACCACAATGTACCAAGCTCTGTCTGTGTAACTTTCCATTAGCTTCCCTTCTACCCACATCAGTATTACTCCTAAGGCTACATGATGACTCCACATCAGAGGGAGAAAAAGATTATGTATATCCCTCACCCCTGGGTCTGACCTATCAGTATAAAAATACATTTAGAGAGAAAAACATAGCAGCTGAAATGTTAAAATTCTGTAGTCAATAAAGTTATATTTAAATTAGTTAGTCACCAGGTTATCTATAGTGGCTAGTACAGCAGTTGCTTCAAATATGTACCTTGACTTAGCTAGCTGGTTTTGAACTTTATCCTAAGGACTGTGATTCACATTCCCTTCCATATTGCTTCTTAAAGGCAAAAATCACTGCACCATTCAACCCTCTTGTCAAGGTCAAGACCTTCCTTTAATGAATGAAGCCAGTTCAAATGAAAAAATACTGGTTAATAAATTACTTTGAAAGACAGGCCAGCCAATGTCTAATGTGGGACTAGTATGCAGTACTCTTGATTATTTGGTGTAAGTATTTGTACAAATTTACAATCCAGTACAGGAAATCTATATCCCCATAGCAATACCAGATCCATTTGCATGCAGAAACCCACGCAGCCAACACAGAAACGTTTAAGGAACAGTTACCTTTGGATTTTCTGTATTTAAATATCAACAAAAGGACAGTATATTTATTTTCTTCTTTCAGGTTTGGTATATGACAAATAGTCGACCAGTCTGGCAAGAGCACTTTGACAACTGGAAGCTTTCAGCGCATGCTCTCCCATGGAATCATGGGGTTTGAAGTCTTACCGATAGACAGCATTTCACTGCTGCTTCCTGAAAGGAAGAGAGCTCGACAGGGAAAAAAATACTGGCACACTCCCTCTTCCCAGGGAAAACTGCTGCAGTCTGAATCATCAGCTCCGAGGAAATATCTGTCAGACTGAGCTGAAAGTGACTAACTAAACATGTGCTTTTAAATAGTCTGATTTAGAAGCCCAGATCAAATAGCCACCTATTCCAAACAACTGCTAGACAAAGAAATAGTTCCAGTATTTCCACACTTCCCTTACAAACTCCTAGCATAAGAAATTAATTATAAGCTCATACCAGCTATAAAGTTTACGGCTATTACAAAGGAAATCGTGCCACGTTGCTTAGCTGAAGAATATATTAAATAATCATGTGTCATAATATAATTTCTAAATATATTCTGAAACTCAAACACAAATAGGTCAAGTATGAAAATTTGAAAAGAAATCAAAATCAGTACATAGGTGAAAAGTTGTACTATTTTAGTAGTTTCCAATTTCCAAGTTACAACTTTTTATTACTGAATTGTTACTACACTAAAAATTCCACAAAAAAAATAAGCTGCTCAGAAGAAAATCAAGATGTGAATATTACTATTTAACATTCCATCTATTCTGTACACTTCACCTCCCTTTCTTTCACTACCCACCATCTGCATATCTCCAGCCTCCCCATCAATACACAGGCTGACAGGAGTTCCTCTCATAAGATATTAATATAGTGATCATTAATGTAGGTCGGGTAAAATTTTCAGAATTTCATTCACTGACACTTGGTGTTCTGTTTTGCACTAGTCCGCGAATTATTCTGCATATTTATTCTGGGTAATTCATAATACTAATTATTCAGACCAAATAGTAATGCTCATAAGGAAATATATTGTTGAAATCAGAAGTGTGAAAATAACAGTGTTTAATAAAAGTGCAGGCTGATTTTCCAACGATGAAATATGCATAGCTTTGTGCATGAAAGAGAGATGACTAAAGCTGAGAAAAATAAATTAGGGCAGTTGAAAGAGTTGTTCTAACACTTACATCTCTGCTTTCTGCACTCTGTTTATGTTGGACTGTCTGGTCTGCCTGCCCTAAATCAACTGTGTAATTAAGAGTTTCTCAACACTTGCTCTAACCTGTTTGTGCTACTCTGAATCATTAAAGGCAGCAAAACTTTTTCTTACAGCAATAGAAAATACTTAATTTTATGAACTATCCCACCTCTCACAGGGCTGGCTTTAGGCATTCTGTGCCCTCCTTTATGTCCCTATTTACTTGTGGGTTATTGCTTTTCAGATGATTTGAGGATTCACATGCAAGGGACCGCACTGTTTCTGTCAGTTCTTCCCAGGAAAGCTTCACTTGATAGATCAAACATTAGGATAAAGAAAAGCACTCCAGAACTAAAGAAAATAATGATGTAAAGAGAGTTTCCGATCAACTAGCTAATAGAAGAATTTTTTTGTTTATTTCTAGCAACCAACTCCCTCATAACTGGAAGTTAAAAGATAGTAACGACAGCTGAATCAGAACAGAAGAGCTTAATTCAATCTGCTATATGAATTTTTTTACCTGGGCCAGTTCCAAAGAAACAAATGTAAGAAAGGTCCAGAATAAACCAAGCTAATTCAATTAACATTGTATAAGGTGTATTTTTATTTTAAGCAATTCATTATGAAGCAATTTAAGCCTCTTTAAGCCTCCTGTGACTAACAAACCATGCTAGTCTTTTTTACAGAAAGTGACTATTCCAGCTGGCTTTAAGGTTAAAATGAAGTGTTACGGTACTGAAAAAAACCCCAAGTTTCATTGTAGAAACACCTTTTTTGACTTAGATTCGTTTCATTTTAGACTGAGGGCTACTTATCTTTTAAAAAAATGGAACCAAGTAGATACAAAATGCCTAACTGATCTTGTAATTCAATTTTACACATCGCTATCATAGCAGTTAATATTTAGATTTGCCAAAATAGAATACTCCTATATTGCCAGATTACTTAGCTTTATTGTAAACAGCTAATAAATTCCACAGTTTTAATACTGCAAGTTCAGAAGAGCCATATAAAGGTACAGCTTCTTATGTATTTGTCCTCTTTTCCAGGCCTCACCAGGCCTCACTGAAATAGTCATCTATACATATATATTTAATCTACCTCCATGTCATTCTTCCAGTACTTGCTTGTCAGCTTCTTTATTAAGCTTAAATCTGTATACATTTGTTATGAAACCATTTCATATCTTTAAAAGTTGATATTTTGCAGTAAGTCCGACAGCCAATTTTAGGGCTCAATTTTAAGCCCTAAATAGCTTATATTTGGTGATTTTCATTAAGTTCTGTACTTGCCTTCAAATGCACAGTTCTACTTAATTTACTTAAAATGGCTGCTACCTCCAGTCAGTGTCTGGGAGCTGAGCTCTGGCAAAGCTCCAGGAAGAGCAGCCACTTTCCCTCACTCTGCACTGGCCAAACAGAGCCTGCTCCCAGGAGAGTTCTCTCGGCTCAAATGTAGCCACTCACTGCCAGGTGCAGGTAAGAGATGACAGAGTGAGGCAGAGTGCAGTGAACATAAGAGAAATGGAAGGAAGAAACAAAGAAGGATCTATTAAGGGATGATATAGGAAGCAATAGTTAAAAATGAAAACAAAATGCAAGAGGCAATCTGAGACTTACACTGGAAACTGCCAATGCAAAGAAGGAAGTATAAAAAACAAAAAGCAGAAAGAAAATAACGAGAAAAGGAGGATGAGGGAGAGTGAAGGAGGTGATTGTAGGGGAGAATAAAGCAAGCATTTTAATAGAGCAGCTGCATATCCAGTCTTGTTAAAGAGAATAGAGAAGGATAGAATGACAATTCTTGCTGTGTCTGGGAGTAAGGAAGTGGTTTTTGACAAATTCAAAACTAATTGGTTATATATGTATTTTAGGATCACACTTCGATTCTGGAAAGAGCAGATAAAGAACATATATCCCAAGCTGTCCAACAGTTTCCACAAATCAGTTTTTGGATTTCAGAATCTTTAAGCTATTTATGGGATGTTAAGGGGTCTGCCATTATACAATGCTTTGTGTTGTAAAGGACCTTTAAAGCTCCTATAGTCCAACCTCCCTGCACTGAGGGATGTCTTCAGCCAGATCAAGTTGCTTAGCCTGACCTTAAATGTTTCCAGGAACAAGGAATCTACCCTCTCTCTAGACAATCTGTGCCAGTGCTTTGCCACTCTCATAGTAAAAGATTTGTTCCTTACGTTCAATCTAAATCTACTGTCTTTTAGTTTGAAACCACTAAAGCTTGTCCAATTATGCTTTTATGTATCCTGTTACACTTTTACTTTTCATGTTTGGAAAAAATATTAAATTGAAAAAAAGTCCAAACCTACTGACTGTTCACTATTTGACCTGATATTCAAGTTTTGTCCATTCCAGTCTTGTCATACCTTCCTTTGCCAGTGGTAGAGCAAATCAGTCATTTTTGTTACAGACCGTTCTATAGCCTCAAATGGTAGCCAAGTGATCCTGGGTTCTGGTTCCATTTCTTCAGGTAAATATTCTTCACAGCTATTATTAGCCACTATGACCTTTATCATAAATGGCAGGCAACCAGCATATCCTTTCAACACCAAAGCAAAAATACAGAAATTGCACAAACCACATACTCCTAGAAATAAAACCAGCTTCCCTCTTTCCATTTGTAACACTTCAGAATAAATATAAATAACCTAAACTAGGCTAGCCTAGCTGCTCGATGTTCTGGCCATTAGGCAACGATCTTAGTCCAGACCAAGAATAGGAACCAGAAACACTTGATATCCAATAGTGCTCTTACATGCCACAGACAGCTGTAATTGGGACAGTGTGTATTAGGATCTCTTCCAGGAGGTCATGCCCATGTGGTTTACTCAGGCCACTGTACATCCAACACTCCTCAGTTGGATTCGGCAGTGAATTTTATGGCCCAAAGAATAAGAACCAAATAAATTTTCTGGGACAGGATGTCAATGCCTTCTTCCTACCTGTTTCTGTACCTCCTGTAAGGAACATTTACATCTCTGTAAATACTTCAGCATTCCTCTTTACAATATTTGTAGCAATTAGAAAATAAACAACACCCTTAGTGCTATACACTACTTACTACTGTGCACATAATACTGCTTACAAGTCCAAGTTCAGGTGTTTTACACACCTTTTGACAACAATTTTCTCTCCCCAAAGACTCTCAAAACCAGACTGATTTGTCTTTAGCTAAGGCAGCAGAGACAAAGAATCCAGTATATTCCCTAAACTTGCCTTCCTGTTACACCTGATGTGTGTTGTCACATACACGCAAAAGCTTGATCTCAGCCAAGAACAGCTCTAGGTTGATGCAGCTGCACAGCTGCACCCCGGGCTTGGCCCTGTAAATTGCAACCTTGAACAGCAACTGCAGTATAATTGACACAAGGTACAGGAACTAGTTTCATATAGCAAGTAAGCACTATTCTTTAAAAATATAACCTGAAAAAGAAAATTAAAAGTTGATTTTTACTAAGCAGTCTTTCCAAAAATCTGTCATGTCACAACAGCCTCTGAAAAACAGGCTATTCCCTTTTCTTCGGGAGCCTGACGTGAAGGCAGGAGACAAACACCCATGGTGGAGATCACTGGAAAGGCAACTTCTTTCCAGATCTACCTCTTTGCTCTATAAAGGCTCTTCAGCTTCTAAATGTCCAGTTTTTCAGATTGTGATGCTCTAAATTGTCTTCTGAACATACAACAAATTCTAAAAGCACCTTAGAAAGATTTTTTTTTCCCCCACACCACCAAAAGAGAGCTTTTGTCATTACCACTGGCCGTGCCATGCCTCACCCCACTTGCACACAGAAGCCAGTGGTCACCGGGCCTCCATCGAGCACCAAGTCCCACTTACAAGGGCGCTTGTCCTTGTCATCGACAACACCACCACTGAAACGGATTAATTTCCCTTCCGCCGTTCCAGCCACCGCCCTTCTGGGCAGCCCGGTCGGGGCTGGCAGCCGGCAGGGCCCCCTCCGCCCTGAGGGCAGCTCGCGGGGCCCGGCGGCCGAGCAGCGGCGGGGGCCGCCTGCACCTGTTCGGCAGGGAGGGAACCGGAGATGCTCCTGCCCAAGGGGTCCCTGCGGGAGCGGGGAGGGGGCAGAGCAGGCGGCCCAGCCTCTCCCTCCCTCCTTTCTTCCCTCCCTCCCTCCACCCGTGAGGGGTCCCGGCCGGCGGCGGGGGACGGCAGGAGGGGCAGCAGCCGCCGGGCGCGAACCTTCCCCCGCAGACCCCGCTCGGCCGCCCCGCCGCGGTCCCGTACCTGCCCCGCGCGCGGAGCCGGGCAGCGACTGCGCGACGGCGGCGGCGAGGAGAGACATGGGCAGGGCAGGGGGAGCGCCCCGCCGGACCTTTAAACCCGCGCCGGCGGCGGGACTACAGCTCCCAGCGGCGGCAGGACTGCGGCGGGATCGCGGCGGGACTACGGCAAGACTACGGCAAGACTACAGCTCCCGGAGCTCCGGGCACGGGCTCTGCCCTTGGCGCAGGCGCGCTGCGGGTCCGGGCGGCGGTGACGGCGGCGCGGTTGCGCTCAGCGCTCGCCGCCTCTCCCCGCGGCGGCCCGGGCGCTCCGTCCTGCCCCGGCCACCGGCTTGCGCCGCGTCCCACCTGCTGAAGGAGGGGCCGTCCCGGCCGTCCCGCGGAAGGGCGGATTTGCCGCCTTCCCGTTCGGTCCCCTTTCTCCGCCGCCGCACGCGTGACGCCTTTGTCAGGCTCCGGGCCCTCGGCTGGGCCCGCTCCTCCGCCTGGGGCCATGGCCGAGCAGACGGGCTTGGCGCTGCCGCAGACGATGGACAGGTACGGGGAGGGAACGTTCGGGCTGGGCCTGTGAGCCCCCGCGGGGGTTTGGGGCCGGTGTTTCGTGTTTTGCCTTGGTGGTCGGACAGAATTTGTGCGAGCGCTGTGGTGAAGCAGCGCTGTGGTGAAGCAGCTACCGCGGGCAGCTGAGGGGCTCGGAGGGATCGTCCCGCGGCCCTCAGGAGGTGACGGTGTGCCTGGGCCGGGCCGGGCTCTGGGGCAGCCGGGGGCTGCAGTCCCTTTCCCTGGGTCTAGGGGAGCCTCCGAGTAGGGAACGCACTGACGTGCACGTACAGTGAGGCACCGAAAGATGACCTAAGCTTAGCCGGCCTTGTGTGTTTTGTTGCTGGTTTTATGATCTGAAGAAAGCCTACAATTTCTGGAGCGTTCTTAAAAATTACAACTTTAGAAGTATTATGACTTAAGCATCTTTCCTCGTCTGTAATTACTAACTTGTAAATTCTGTTTATTATATTTGTTTTCTCTATATGCTTTTATTTGAATATGTAGCACTTTCACCCTGTTCCGCTTAGCACTTCAGATTCCTTAAGTGTAATTTTGACTCATCCAGGAAGCCCTTGCAAGCTGTTCCTACAAACAATAAACCACATTCATAGTCTGTTATTTATTGCAGGAGTTGTAATGGCCTGGTATCTCAGAAGGTGAGGATCCAGAAGCAGTCATGCTTCTGTTGATGAACCTGTCAAGTTTTCATCATAAGGAATCAAAAAGAACCCTGGTGGTTTTGTCCTTTCCAGGTCGCCTTTAAGGAAAGAGTATTTGATGAAATACAGGTGATGGAACTGCAAACTAAGGGAGGCAGGGATAGAACTTGTGCAGCCTGGAAGGTGGGAATGAGAAGTACCAGTTTGATCTAGAAAGAGGATAAAAGTGATTTGGGGAGGGAAAGTTTATGTTCTAGAAAAACTGAAAAAGTAAGAGATGACAAAAGGATGATTTATGTTATAAAAGTATTGCTGAATCAACTCCTCTTAAACTAAAAAAAAAAAAAAAAAAAAAACTAAAACAAAAAGCAACAAACTTTTATCTACATCCTGAGTTTTGTAGTCCAGTAATACATATTTAGAGTTCTAGGAAACCATAATAATTTGAGTGGATGCCCTGATGCCCATGGCTATTGTATCACACTCTGAAGTCCTAGCTCACCCTATTGGGAAGTGGCTGTGAGGTTGTGTTTATAATCTTTGTTGTGACCCACTGTTAAATTAAACAGTTAATAAAAAAAAAAAAAGAGGAAATTAGTTACCTGCTTGCCAGTTCTTCAGTTGTTACATGTGGGTTTTGATGTACATTTAATATTCTGTATCCTTTCAAGTTTGTGAAATTATAATTTGTGTCTCTGGCTCATTTCAAGGACTTTTTTAGTATACTTGGGGTAGCTTGATGTGTAAAACAAATGGACAGCATCTCTGATTTCCTTAATATCAGGGACAGCAGGGAAAGAATTTGAAGTACCTAAGTAGTGTAAAAGGTGGTATGAAGAGAGGCTGGAGCTTTCATATAAGAATTCCTTTGGCTCATTATAGGAAACTTTAGAAACAGGAGTGTCACAAGGGATGAATGTAGTAGTAAGAAGGAACCAAGTATTTAGGATTTTAATTTAATTCAGAGTGTAGCACATCAGTAGAAGGATTTTGGACTAACCAAGACCTCAAAATGCAGATGGTATAAATAATTTTTCTGCTTTGTATTGGATTTGTGGAGCAGGGTTACATTTGAATAAAGAGATTTTTATGCATCTGATGTTTCTGAAGGTTGTACATAACTGTGGTTGTGTTGTTGGTAGTGGTGATCAAGAGAAGCCTTCAGTATTTCATCCTAATGGACATTCCCCATGATTAAATTATCTGTGGGGATTCTGAGGAATGGAAATACTTCTGTGCTGTTATCTTTTTTGCTCATGACAGATATTTTTTTTTCCACAGTGAGAAAAAATATGCAAAATCTTTAATTGCTAATGATTATAGCTAAACACAAAGTGCATACTTTAAAATAAAATAAAGGTCTTTTAGTGACGATGACTTTCATTTGGATTCTAATAGTTAAGGAGGGGAAAAAGAAGGGTTTTCTTCTGTTTTCAGTACCTAGATCACCTCTGAGAGTGGTGACATGCTGTTGTCATGTCTACTGCAACAACTGATCAGGAATCAGTTGTTGCAGTAGATCTGAGTGCACGCACTGCTTTGTGTACAAGGGTCAGAGCTCCCAGAGACAGTTCTTTAATTCTCTGCTTCTGAGAGGGAACAGCTGGATTCTTCCCTTGACTCTTAGATTTTGTACCTGTATATATCAACCTATATAACAGGTTTATTTCCTTAATAAAGTTGGATTTCTCCAGTGCAAGGACTGACTTGATAGCATCATCGCATTGCTGCCTGGGATTCATGTTTCTTTGATGTGTTTTATGCTCCACCCTTAATTTGCCTGCATAATTTCAGTCTAGGAAGCAATCCATGGATTTATAAGAAGGTAAATAGTTGTTAGGATGTAAGGAGTCAGTTACTCAAAATTTCAACCTAAGGATTTTATACTTACCTGAAGGATTCACTGTAGCATAAATACAAGAAGCTTGAGTGTTAAGTGACACTACATTGTGGATTGTCTCATCTGCAGCATTTAGGAAACTAATCCATATGATTGGCGTCATCTTTTCTAGCCTCAAAATCAGAATTTCCATCCCTCCTGTAATTTTTTTTCTTCTCTGTCATGTTCAGATAACAGTTCCAGATAATAATTCTTAAGATACTGTTCCTTTTCTGCAAGCAGAAGTCTTTTTACTCTATGGCGAAACCCCATATTTCTGGAATAATGTGTACACTTTTACGGCAGGTATTAGTAATCTGGCTAAATTGTGAGATTTTATTATTTCATTATTTTAATGCCTTTGTTCTTGTTAGTTTACTGCATAAATTACAGAATGATAGTAATCTTCAATAAAACTTGAAATTATGTGGCAGTTGGGTTTTTATGTGCTGCTAATGTGAGCTCTAATGATGAAATGTACTCATATTGTTAAGCTTTATTCTCCTGACTTCAGCTGAATTACATGTGGATTACTCTTGCAGTTGGTTATGCCAAGGCTTCAGAGTGCTGGGGTTCTGGTTTTCAAAGCATAGCCTGTGCTAGTGATTCGTGGTATTTCATGTACTATCCAAATTAAAGACAACTGCTCCCTTCTTTCCCTATATTTGCCACCATGGTCAGAATGGTCACCATTGCTTCTGTTACTTCAGTCTTTAGTGATGTCGGTCAACATTTGATGGATAATCTGTTGAAGGCTTGTCCAGGTACATGCTGAAGAATCAACATAGTGATAATTCTAGTATGGTTTCGTTTTTGAATTAGCATTCTTAATTTTCTGACTGGGTGGTAGTTGCTTAGTTGTGGTCAGTATCCTTGATAAAAACTAGAGCAAGATGATGTGACTTTAAGTATCTACCCTTGCCTTTCCCTATTGAAAGGAGACAAGAGAGCTGAAATTACAGGTAGACTTTAAAAGCAATTAAACAATAAATTGTAGTTTGCTTAAGAAATTACTTTTACTATCAAGAGAGGAGTATTGTTGCAATTAAATTTTCTCTTTTCCATATCATTGATTTATTGGAAAAATGCTAGCAATTGTAGTTGAAAAATTGCAAAATAGAGTTGGATTTTCTATTTCAGTTTTTTGAACTGTCTTCTGATTCCATAGTAATTTTTTTTTCCCCAAGAAAAAAGTGCAGGCACTGGTTTAGTTTGGTTTTCTTTTCACAGTTAACTGTTGATACTTTAGTAAGCTAATACACAGTTTTGGATTAAGACCCTAATGCTACAACCTCAACAGTGTAATTAGTGCAGTGTGATCCTTGATTAAAGGTGTTTATTCTGAACATCTCAGACTTGTACTGTATGTTGTGCTCTCTCTCGCTGAGGGAAGTTGACATACAAGTAACTCTTTGTAGGAGTGGAGTTCACCCAGATATAAGATATGCAGAGTAATAAGCAGCATAAAACACAATACAGGATTTATGTATTATCTTTTTTTTTCACAGAATGCCATCTCTGCAGTTACTCAGTCTGTTTGTTCTACTTGTACTGATTAAGCATGTCTCTCTTCCTTGTCCTACCTCAATTATTTTCTTTCTTCACAACAGAGTTAAACTCTTTGGAGAGAGGTCTTCTTAACTTTTGGTCAAAGTCTGCCAGTGTCTGGAAGTACCTGGCTTTCTATTCTTCCTTGAGAGTAGGTTATTCATGCTCAGAAGGAAAGGGCGTGTAAGAGTGGAGAATGGACTGTGCTGGGTTAATCTCTACCAAGGAAACAAGGGGTTTGTTTTTCTCTGTCCTTAGCCCAACTATTTGGAAGTTGATGTTGATACAGGATGGAAAAAGCAAAATCACACATATCTCGGAGAGTGGGTTTTAAGAAAGAAAGCTTGAAACAATAATAGCTTTATAATAGCTTGGCTTTCTCATGACTGCTGCATCCCAGGTACATCCCTTAGTATTTTGCTTCACTTTATCATGAAGATTCTATGTAGATTGACTTCTTCCTGTGTCTTACCAGTAAAGATGATTAGTGGAGACTTAGTGCAGACCTGTACACTGCCTTTTGCCCATGTGAAATATTGCAAGTGTCAGCATGCTATTTATAAACTATCTTAACCTTTTGACTGTTGTCTAATATATTTATTTTTCTGTCTTTGATGTTTGCTTTCATATGCTTAGGAATAAATGTATGTGTTTCAGTTGCTGCTTAACAATTAATTTCTACCTGCAGACAGTAGGTAATAATTCCTATTTAAGTGTGAAGAAACTCCTGAGAAACAACTTACAAATTTTTTATACTCAAACTATTGGCATCCCATGTATTATGAAGGCACTCAGATAATATTTTCATTTGTTACATTCACTTTTTCTAAAAAGACTATACAAACTCCTATTTATTGATCTCTTCCATATAGAAGTGTTCAGACTCTGTAATAGTGCTTAAAGCTCCA